ACCAGAGGCTGAGGCAAAGCAGCTGAAGTTACTGCAGTCAGTTATGCCTTCACTGCATTGATGCCCAAACAGACTAAATTAAGAAATCATACTTAAGATGTTTGTTCTATAAATATCTCTTTTTCCATTTAAATGCACGTGTAGCCCATTTCAAATATGTCTTGTGACAAAGTGTTTAATTGCAATATGCATGGAACAGGTCAAAAATATACCAGTCTCCTGAGAAGAACAAAGACAGGGAAACCCTCCTGAATTTTACTAAGCTCTTACACTCTTTCTTTTGTTTTTTTATGCAAGCAAGTAAGTAAAAGAATTATGAATCTTGATTTCATTTTGCATTATAACTCTCTGCAGTACTTGGATACAGAGCAGTATTGCAAAAAAAAACCAAAAAAAAACAAAAACAAAAAAAACCAAACAAACAAAACAAAAATGGAACCAAAAAAGCAAAACCACAAAGAAAAGGGGATCCATTCCCTAATCTAGTAGCATTCCACACAGCTGTGCTTGCACGAGAAGGCAGAGAAGACAAAATGAACCAGAGAGGAAATCAGTACTTTAGTGCAGCTTGTTATCAATTCATTGCAGGTTTAGATTATTTCTTTTCTGAGGCCAAGCAGGCATCAGTAAGTGCTCACTGGATGCATTCACTCCCAGCTGAGGAGACATACTGCTTAAACCTCAGAGATTTCCCCATCCCACAGGAAGGTAAAAATCCAAAAAGCTGTAATTCTTTAAGCACTGACTACTAATTTACTTCGAACCATTTCCAAAGAGCAGCAGAAGATGGCTTCAATAAAGAAAACAGGGTTTCGAGACAAAATTACAACATTATGATTTAATGAAAACAAAGATAAAAGCTAGATTCCTTTAAGCTTGAGTGACAAGCCATGCAGATGTCTTTCCTTTCTAAAGAAACTGCTAGTGAAAGGGTCTGAACTGAATATGCTGAAGGGTGCAAGTACAAAGAGGTCAATATTTTGTGTTAAACTGCTGATTTCCCTATCAGAATGGTGATACAAAGTTTGGCATAACACCTTGAGCCCTACAAATTCTGCACAGTTGTGTTTAAGTCAGGTATATACCCAGGTTACTCTGTTAAAAGAAGTCTTCTAGATAAAGTAATCCAGAATAACAATTTAATTGCACTTGTGTTTCTTGGGCCATAGGAAATTCAAGAACTTTATCCTAGGACTGTTTTAATGAATTACAGGAACTTCCCAGTGAGAGAATGCAGACAGTATAAATGAGCATCTTAGGAACAGCAGGCTTATGCAGCAATGCTATTGTCCAAGATGTGAAGCAACAATTACTGCCTGGGCCAAAAAATGTCTCATCTGTGAGAGGAACTTCAGCCTTTAGATCCAAATTCTAGATCTGTGCTTGCCAAGGTCTGTTATTTAACAAAAAACTGCTTCCAACCATGAGGAAAGACCCTGAACCAAAAAGTAGAACAGGACTGAGTCCTCTGAGCAATACTGCAAAGCTGCAGTACCTGGGCATCAGCCAGACTCATCCTTATCACAAAAGGTGTCAGCTTTTGTGATAATGCAGCTGAAGGCCCCCTAAAAAAGAGACAATGCACAGCCAAAATGGGAGAAAAGAACATAAGCTGCTATTACCAAGAGGTTCTGAGGGGACACCCTGGGCATTAACAGACCTTTTACAGGATTCTGTCCTAAGCAATAGCAAGGATTTAAGATAATGGAGCAACTTTGCTTTTTACTAAGCCTAATAGCTCCTGCAAAGAGGATGAGGGAAATTAATTAATTTAAATACATATGGCCTGCAGTGAGTGGCTGCACATTTTGATCTTACTGCCTTTGGGGTTTCAGTGCTTTTTAAGCTCCAACATGGCATGACCTTTCATGACTTTCATAGCAGACCATTCCTGTTGTCCTTCATTCTGCTCTGTATGCACCTAGATCAAACAATGCTTTCAATTTAAAGCCCAGCAGGACTGTAGCTGCTACCTCAAAACACCCCTAAAGATGTCCAGGGAGATAGCAATGAAGGGGTTGAAATGGAGATGCTAAACATCTTCCACAAAGCACACCGACCAACACCCCTAAAGATGTCCAGGGAGATATACATTATTCCAACATACATTAGAAGAGATGAGTTGGTAAGTACTGCTCAAGTCACTTTTGCAGGAGGGGGTTTTCTGCCTCCACTGTTATTGATAGTTCACACACTGTCCTTCCAAATACTGAATTTGGCAAATGGTTCACCCCTCACCCACAACTGCACACATGGTCTGAACTTCTAAAATCTCTAAAATCTTCTACATCTAAAACTACCTGGCTCTTTTTCACATTGGTTCACAGAGCTTTCATGGAGTGGTAAAAAGAATTCCAGGAGTATTTAATTTCATTTTTATAACACAGATCTCTTTCCACATTATAGAACACCAAATTCTCCATTATCAGTTTAACTTTTTAAGGATTGTGCTGTATTTACAGATAATGTTGTCTTGCCTTCATTGAAAGCTTTCCTTGAAAATTCTTCACATTTTCTTTCTGGTTGGTTTTGTTTTGAACAAACTGCTTTGCAACTACACTGAATTAACAACCCCAAAAATACCAAAGCACACAGACTTTCAAAGCAGACAAACATACATTTCGTTTTCTTTACCTTCCTGTCCTTTGCTACTTCTGAAATAAAACAAGATTTGCTGGATTTAATATCAAAGTGTATCCTACAAGCTCTCAAGCAGTAAATCAAATAGTTGAGGGGGGAAAAAAAAAATCAACCAATAAACTTGATTTGTGAACCATCAGCAGAGTAGGAGAGAAGGTGGTGTTGGACAGACCAAAAAATTGCCAGTGTTTCTCATCCATTTAGAATTTCCAACATCAGCCAATAACCATGGGGAGAAAGGAGCACCACACACAACAAACAAGTGGTAAGTGGAACTCTGCTAAGTCCCTAGGTAACTTTTTCTCCTACCAGTCCCTACAAAGCTTTCCAGTTATGTACTTGAAAGACCAGGGAAAAGACAGGTCTGTAAGATCTGGGGAATTACAAACCTGAGGTTGCCTCAACAGCTGATTCTCACCAACATCCCAGTTCCTAGCAGGGTCCTTAAGGAACAGGCAGGACAGTTACATTAGGCAACATCCATGCAAATTTTGCTGCTTTGGCTCTGTCCAAGACACATCCATAGGCATAGTAAAAAGTACCACTGAGACTGTTCTAGTAAGATACATAGCTTTCTATCATTGATCCCAACTGCTTCCAGGACAGATTATGCTGTACACGGAGTAAGGACTGGACTTTAGCATAGTTTTTAAACTCTATTTAGAAAATTACAGGTAAGTTTGCCAACACACAAAAAAAAACTAAACCAAAAAACCACAATTCCGTACTTGAAAGACCAGGGAAAAGACAGGTCTGTAAGATCTGGGGAATTACAAACCTGATGTTGCCTCAACAGCTGATTCTCACAACATCCCAGTTCCTAGCAGGGTCCTTAAGGAACAGGCAGGACAGTTACATTAGGCAACGTCCATGCAAATTTTGCTGCTTTGGCTCTGTCCAAGACACATCCATAGGCACAGTAAAAAGTACCACTGAGACTGTTCTAGTAGGATACATAGCTTTCTATCATTGATCCCAACTGCTTCCAGGACAGATTATGCTGTACACGGAGTAAGGACTGGACTTTAGCATAGTTTTTAAACTCTATTTAGAAAATTACAGGTAAGTTTGCCAACACACAAAAAAAAACTAAACTAAAAAACCCCAATTCTGAATGTATATAAATGTATAAAAAAAGTTATTCTAGCATCCGTGCAAAACACTGAAGTGACCACTTATGCCTTTTTTTCCCCCCTTTCTTTTGTGTCCTTCCAATATTTCCCTGAAAAAAAGGGACAGTCTTATTTCACCAAGCCTCTCTTCAGAATTCACTGCTTATGACATGAAGACTCTTCTCCAACTCTAAGTCAGGAAATATATCTATATCTGCAGTGTGAGGCATCAGGAATAAGAGAGCATTTTATTTTTCCAAATTGTTTATTAAATTTGCAACTCCTCTGAGATAACATGCTCAAAAAGAATTACCAGGAACTCATTTGTTTATGGACAAAGAGGTAAGTCTAGGGCTTTTTTTTCTCCTTTGCACATATGCACAGGCATTCTGAGAAATCCAATGCAAGTTTTCACTTCCCCAAGCAGGCACCTCACTATTCTTTCTGAATGCTTAGGTCACAAGGCTGAACATGTTTGTTTCACTGTACTGGTACAGTCTTCACAACACTGCCTCAGATATCACAGATTAAATCCTGCCTCACCATAGTGCACCTTTCTAGCACTGCAGTTCTGCTTCCTGCACTCAGGGTCTGCATGTTGCCCTCAGTCTGGTCAGATGGGCCAGCTCTAATCTCTTGATTGCCTTCTCAGCCATATTTGTTTTCTCCCACAATGCCTCCACCTCCACCACTACACTTGCCCGGTATTTACCAGGGTGGAATAGCTTCCTGTTATTTATCAAGTATTTCCACTTCATCATTATAAGAAGTGCCCCCAAAACACAGGAGCTAAGGGCCACTCGGAATTCAATGAACTATTAAAATCTCTCTAGGTAACTGGCAGGCAGCTAAGCCAGTGCTCAAATCTGTTATCCAGCTTTATTGCAGAGAACAAGGTTACCAGCTACTCTTCAAGACAGAACTACTTCCCCCATCCCCCAAGTGGCTCAGAAAATAATCTGTTATTATTCTAGTACATTTATTTTTTTTCTAGTTTGCTTTGGGGGGTTGGTTTCTTCATATTTTTTTCTTGAACACATACAATATTTTATTTCCATTCACATATTTTACAAGCTTCTGGCAGATGTTCAGTGAGTTCAACCACCCTGTAACTTCGCACTCATCCCAAAATAATCTCTTTTCAGGTTTTTTCCCCCCCACACACTTGCACAGCACTGGTGCTACCCTGCTGCAGTCCTGTGCTGCTAAGAGCAGTAGCTTTAGACTCGGCAGTGAGGAGGGACTTACACTGGTCACTCGACGGTAGATCTGCGCAGCATTTTGGCACTCGGAATAAGGATATTCAGACGTGGCCATCTCTAGCATACACATCCCAAAAGCATACACATCAACGGACTCATCATATTTCTCCTCATACATCTCGGGGGCCATGAACTCTGGGGTACCTTAAATTAAAAGAACGATTCAGACTCTAAATGTCTCAAAGCGAGCAGAGGCTGCTGGCGTTACTCACCGCAGGGACAGGCGGCTGGGCAAACCTGTGAGACAAGAGAAAGTGGAGGCAAAAAGAAGAGGGAGGAAACCCTTAGTGACTCTGTTGCACCAATGTACTTTGTGAGTCTTCCATTGCAAGGCCTTTATGGAATAACAATGGCATGTGAGAACTGATGCAATTCCCTGTTTAGGTATGTTAGTTGATACAAATGTCAGAACAGACTGGATTAGCCTGAAATCAAACAGGAGGGGAGGGGATAAGAAGAGGGGAAAAACTGCAGACTAGCCATAGGCTGCAAACCAAATACTAAGGAGAGTTAATGCACTTACCTTTTCTCCCTGTAAGAAAAGAGGCACATTAAACCTTGTTTCATAAATCACCTGACTGCCCTCTGCTGCAAAAGAAGTAGTACTGGTAAGAGCCCACAGCTAGTCTCTGACCTGGTGCTCTCCATCTACTTGCTGAAGTAGAATGGGTCAGATAAGGCCTTGCAATGAAAAGCTCTGTTGTTACAAATAAAAATCTCCGTGAAAAGAGGATACAAAAAGTAATTTTCTGCAAAGGCCACTCACCAGAGCCCTTTTCTTCATATACTTACCTTCCCACCTGCAGTATATTTATAGGCCTACTGCAGATACAGGCATTAGTGAGGGACACCCTACAGTCAAAAATACTCAGAAATACAGAGAGATTGAGTTACAGGCATAGAGCGTGAGATTCAACAAGTCCCATTTAAATAGTGTGCAGAAAATGATTGCCCAGTGAAGCATCACAGATCCCCTCTGCAAACAAAGGGACTGCATTGTATGATCAGATTTACTTTAAGCCACAGATGCAAGTTTGCTTTTTGTAAATTAAAACACAGAATTATTTCCTGCAGATACCAGATTCCAGGCAATTTACAGATCATTCTACAGCCCATTGCTTGTTTCACCAGACTAAACCAAAGAGAATGTAAATTGCAGTCATTTATCCAAAGGGTAATCATTAACAGATAACTATGTAACAGATGGTAATTTTCCAGTGATAAATTTGAAGATATGACAAATATGCTTAAGAAATTATGGTTTTTAACACCATTCTTTTATTCCCTATTAATACTTTGACCTGGTTAAGAAGCAGGAAATATTTCAGTGACAGCTTGCAAGAAAATTTACAGGTATATGCCATTGATCCCAGCTAGGAATCTGGCACAGGACTGTTGAGTAATGCTAAATTTTAGCAAGCTCTAAATACTGAGAGTGAAAGAAACTTCCTGCAGTCTATTGACCCAACTATAAAAACAAAGCTGATAAAACCAATTCTTTCAAGAATTCACAAGAAAGATCACACTAGTTCCACCAAATCAATTTCTGAAAAAGGTTATGAATGGATACACAGGGACAGAGCCAGAATAAAGCACTATTTCCCAATGCACCCTCCTAACTCACACAAATCCACATTCTACAGACTCCCTGAGTAAGGTGTTATACCACAGTCTGTGTTATTATTTAAATACATATATATATAATATTGTCTCTTTGGTACACCTCAATTTCTGATTACTCACAAGCTGCAAGAGATTCAACATTAACCCCTGGTGACAATGAAAAAAATATTTGGCTGTATGAACTAGCACTACACTAAATATCAAAATGCTGTTTGGTCACCAAAATGCATTTGTACATTTCTTGAAGCAGCACCACACCAAAGGTAAGATTTTTAGGTACTGAAGAGTGGTTTTATCAACAATGTTGCACTAGATTGTTGGGCAGGACAAGAACTCTATATTTTCAAATAGCTAATGTTAATATATAAGTAACAAAAGCACAACCAAATTTCAACATGTCTTTGCATTAGGAACACAGAATGCCCTCAGCAACCAAGAGACAAAGCCTACATATTTTCAGGCTTAGACCATGTACCTTTATAAGCATGTTTTTTAGGAAAGTTCCTAAAACACTGAAGTCTCCACAGAGGTAGACTGGCTCAGCAGCCTCCAAAACAGGAGAGGCTTACCTATCACACTTTTGGCAAAAGAAGCTCGTTTCAGGGTTGCCAGACCAAGGTCTCCAATCTTGACTGATCCAGTGGGGCCAGTAATGAAGATGTTGTCACATTTTAAGTCTCTATGAATGATGGGAGGAGTACGTGTGTGTAGAAATTGTAAGCCTTTCAGTATCTGACGGCACCAGCTTCGTAGTACTTTAATTTTCATCACTTTAAATCTTTTCAAATACCTAATGAAAAAAGTAACAATAGTTTAAATAGATTCTGCTAACAAACAGTAGATTTAACTATATCATTTGCTGTTTGGAAGAAAAGAAAGAGTAATTAATGATGTATAAATTTAAATTTCTGTTTTAAAATCTACCTGAGCATTTCACTACTTCAGAGGAGCTAAAGATGATTCCCCTCTAAAAAACCCATCCCCTCTTTTCTAGCCAGCAGACTATAATGACAAAACAAAAATGTGAAAGCTTGGTGTACATAGCTGATAACACCTCTGCATACAAAATCATTCCACAGTAATTAAACAGCTGGATTGCTAAATTCCAAGGCACTGCTTCAATGACAAATAATTCAAGGCTCATTAATTACAGTTCTTTACCTATTTAACTTCTCAAACACTTACAACCTCTACCTTGATTAATTACAAGTGGGTGGGAAGGTGGGTCACTAGATCCAAAACGTTAATAACCAACAAAGTACAGAGCTGCAGAAAACTGCAAGAGCTTTGAAATCAGTCCCTTGTTTACAAGAGTAGTCAAGCACTCTGTTTCCACATTACATTTTAAATCTGTTTCAAATTTACCTGTGGAGTTAGCAACATAATTAGAAATTCTTAGAGATCCCCTCCTGCGTGCAGGACAGGGTTTGATCACCTGAATCCAACTGGTACTACTCATTACCTCAAAACTATGGACAGGTAGAGACAGGGCAGAGAAATCTTTAAAAAGGCTCTGTCAAATAACTGAGGTGGAAGAGTTTATACATAAGTCTGTATCCTTTTGCAGATAGAATACAATCCAACCTTAACTTCTCATATAAGAAGAGTCAAATTCCATACCAAAAATATTTTTCAATGAGCATGACCTAAGACTAAGATGTTATTCTGTCACTTAACTTCAGCAGATTAGAGATGCCACAAGGTGAATAACCTCTGACAGTTTTCAAGTGCTTTCCAGCAGGGTTTTCTCTCAACCTCTAGTTGGGTAACATAGTTTGAAGAGCTGTCTTGTTCCTTCTGAAAAAGTACAGGCCAGACTACATGTAGAGAAAGGACCTAGCACACTCTGTAGAGCAAGGACTACATTGTTGTTCGGGCAATGCTACTCAGTGAGAGTCTCAGATAAAGATCAGTTTCACACTACAGAAAGACTGCTAGTAAATTCTGTGACCAGCATGGAGTCTAGCCACTGCAATCTTAAAACTAAAAGCAAGTTGTGTTCAATTATTCCATGGCAGTGGTCAGTCTCTTCTCTGCAGATTCACTTAATTAGGAGATACAGTCCTGATGAAATCACTTCAATCAGCTCCAACACAGAAATGCAGTGTATTTATCCCTTTCAGTTTAATTTCTCCAGTTCAAAACAAGATCTGGAAAATCAAGTTGCTATGATGCAATGATCCTGATATGAAAATAACTCTGTAAAAGCAATTGAGTCAGTTCCAGAGGAAATCGGGTGTCAGAATGTCAAGGAAGGCAGGGAAAAAGCCAAGCCAAGGAAGGAGATAAACTGAAGGAGGTTCTGAATCACATCAGCTACCACTTGAATTCTTGCTATTGACACAACCCTCACTCATCTCTCTTGAGCCTGTTCCAAAGATCACATGGTAGGGGCACTTCAGTTCAGCATCTGGAACCCCTAATTGCATTCTTGGTTACAAATATGCTAGTCCACTGCCAGCTTTTCACTGTTAAAGGACCTGGATCCAACCATCACCCAACACTGTGCAGTGTGCCTGCCATTGTTCCATAATACTAACCTGAATTAACTCACATGTCACTTCATGCAGAAAACAATTTAAAATGGAAGCACATACAAATACACAAAAATAGACAAGCCTAATAGCCAGTACGTTTTCACTTTTCCTACTATCATAGAATAACTTGAGCTTGAAGAGACCTCAGGAGGCTCCCAGTCTAAGTTTCTGTAATTACAATTACATAGAGCTCAAGGAGCTATAGGAATCCTTATTAAACTAAAACATGAGAAAATTTCCTTTAAGATACCATCACACTTGTATTCTGTTCACTTTTTTCATCAAGTGACAAGAATGTCTATGTCCCAAGTACCAAAAGAAGAAAGTCATCACTTTTATCAAATGCAGGTAAGGTAAACATATTGAAAAAAGATATGGAAGTAACAGTCAAATATATGCAAACACAAGTGTACAGTGTAAATCTAGGAAAATGCCACAAGCACATGAAGTACTCAATTAAGGCACACCTGAAATCTCCCATACATTTCACCTGTCAAGCCTCAAGCAAAGTGGACTAGAATAAACTAAATCACAGCTATAACACCAGCTATACAAGAGTAGAGAAAAACCCTAGCCAGAACTCTACAGTTTAAAGCATGTTCAATTAAAGAGCCTATTATTTTTTTTCCAGATTAAATAAAAAGACTTTCTTATTTCAAGATACAAAATAATCCCACAGACAGAAAAACTGGGGTATCTCTTCCTACCAACACCCTACTTTATAATTGTCTATTATTACTTCATCATCTTGCTTATGACACCACATAAGCCAATCCAAATATTAAAATCTGTGAGAGGGATAAAGGAGTAAAAAAGGGAGAAAAATAAATTTAGCACTACACATTCAGCAGAAAATTAGGTAAACTTTATTTAAAGGCATCAGTACAGAGGTGCAAAACCATTAACTTATTACTTGTCTGAAAACAGCACATTAAGTAGCAGATCTATTATTTTACCTGAAATACCTTAAGCAACCTGAGAAAGGTCTCCACTGAACATATGCCTGAAGAATGTTGTCGTATGCTTAGCCATCCAATACTATTTCTAGAGACAAACACTTCCCTGTAACTGCAGCCCAGACTCCAGAGAGCCATTTTTCCTCTTAAGAATGTCCATTTGTAGCTCTCAATAAGCACAGTAAAAAACACAAGACATTCACAGGCTATTTCAGCCAAAGAGAAGGCAAACTGTTTCCAGCTCTTGCAGCCTCCTTACACATGTAGGGTGTGAATGCCTCTCCAAGAGTGAAACGAGCACTGAACAAAGTGAGGGATGCAGAGCCCCTTTATTGGGGAGCTGGCAGCTTTACTCCCAGCAGAGGGATGGTGGCTGGCACTCGGGACATGCTCCCAGAGAGGAGCAGAGCCCCTTTATTGGGGAGCTGGCAGCTTTACTCCCAGCAGAGGGATGGTGGCTGGCACTCGGGACACGCTCCCAGAGAGGAGCAGAACCCCCTCACTGCAGAGCTGGCAGCTTTACTCCCAGCAGAGGGATGGTGGCTGGCACTCGGGACATGCTCCCAGAGAGGAGCAGAACCCCTTCATTGAAGAGCTGGCAGCTTTACTCCCAGCAGAGGGATGGTGGCTGGCACTCGGGACATGCTCCCAGAGAGGAGCAGAGCCCCTTTATTGGGGAGCTGGCAGCTTTACTCCCAGCAGAGGGATGGTGGCAGGCACCTGGGACATGCTCCCTCTGGGGCAGAGAGCAGAGCCCCCACGAGCCCCTCACGCCACTGGAATCCCTCACAGCAGCTGCAGCTCCAGCACTCGCCTAACTCAGCCTTCAGCACACCATGAGGTGCACTCAGCTGCCTCACAGGTCCAAGCTACAGGATTTCTATCTGAAGCTTCAGCAAGTTGCAGATAAACCAATAGGTGGTGAATTTTTTTTCTTTTTACATGTTATTTGTATTGTGGTAACACTCAAAACCTCCCAAAAGAGGTGAATTCATCTGAGCTTTGAACTTGACGAACTAGCTCATCCTCAATGAAAGTAGCTGGAGAAAAAAAACCAAACAAATACTGAGAAGTGAAAACTAAGTATTGCCTCTCTCAGCTCTTAAAATTCAAAAGTCTTGTGCATGTGCTTACTGGGACATCACAAGTAAGAACTGACAAGCCTGCTAACTTAAAATATGTTCTACCACACCCTGCAATGCTAGTAATGCTCCTCTTAAACAAGAATGCTCCTACAGTAGGTTATCCTTCAACAGAAGGGCTCTGTTCTCATCTATTCTAAATATCACCTACTTCTAGTGCTCTAGTATTGTGCTAATGAAACTGAAACCCTGCCTTGTCTTAATTTACTTACGTTTTTAATGTTCCAGACGTCATGAGTTCCGTCACAAGAACAATACACTTTTTTCCTTTGACTGTAGACTCCCAGGAATCATAGAACCTGACAATATTGGGATGCTGAAGCCCTTTCAGCATCCCAGCTTCCTCTTTAAATCTTTGTCGCTCTGACTTGGACAGCTTCCGATCCTAATGAAAAAGAAAAGGTGCATCAGAAAGTTTTATTTTCTTATTGAGAGGCAGCAACTTGAAAACAGTTAGGTACACACAAGAATGACATGTCTTAAACACCATTTGGTTTGCAATTACCTTTAAATATTCTGTTTTGAACACATTCTATTACAGTCTTTTTATAATATGTTGCTCTTTATAATTCTATTGCTCTCAGGGTTAAGAACTGCATGTCTGTAGATTAACTCCTCTTTCTGCTTTCTCCTGCTTTACTACTTTAATAAATTTAGCTGTTGCCTGACTGCGGGAGGAAAGGGGATATAATGTCTTCAACACTTCAGTGTCTGAGAATGAAATCAGATAATTTAAAGCATGTCCCTCTCATGTTGTACATAACAATAACTTTTCATTATTCCTAGATGTCTGTCCAGACCACTGGTTAACAGATGGAGGATTAGCCACCCATAGAGGGGGTTAAGCATCAAACCTCTGTTAAGATACAGTATGTTCCTGTAGTTGTAGACCATCAAGTGAATGAATTGGATTTTCTCTGATTAAATGCAGAACCTCATGATTGAGCAAGTTTCCTGAAATCTCATGTCAACAAAACCAAAAAATGTAACTCCCAGGAGAGACAGAAAGCAATATTTTGGCCAGAAGCAGAACACAAAACAGCCTTCCTGGACAACAGTGTTGTGTTGCAGCTGGCTGTCAGCTATTACCTGAATGAGAAGCACATCTCAAAGAGAAGGCATCTCCTTATGCCATACAATGTTCTCAGTTACCAAGGCACAACCAATGCACTGCTCACACCAGTCTGACTGACTGGCACAAACTGAGTCCATATGCAGCTTGCATTTAAAAAACATAAAATATTTCAGGATATACTTATAGCCAAGAATTTCAGAAACATTGTTTCTAAGTTATTTAGCAATAACCAAAGACCTATTTGTCAGATCTGAGTAAAAATTTCAAGTCACTTGATTTCACATTGTCTTTTCCATTAAAAGGAGGCAGTAAAACCATGCAGGATTTACTTATACTCCCATTGTGCTCCAGACTGCAATTCCTCTTCCTTTGTTTACAGGTCATGTGTTTTCTCAATATAACTCAGCCATGTAATATCTAAACCATCCTACATTTACTAAGACCATCAACGTTTTCTAAAAGGTTCACAGAGTATTTTCAGGCAAGGGCAAACTTCTTTTTCAGATGAAGCTCAAATTTTCAGAAGTATTCCATTTCCCTGGGTAAAAGTCTGAAAACAGGTTTGAAATCACCTCAGGGATCAGTTTCCTATTGGTGTCTAGGATGTCACTCACCTTCACAATTCTAAGGAAAATGCAAAATCCTTATGTATGACCAATTTAATCTACAGACATCAAAAAGCATTCAATCCTACAACTACTTCACTCTGTAGAAATCAGCATTACCACCTCTTCCCATTCTTTCATAAGTGTATTTGCACAGGTTTCAATATAACATTTGAAGAAACACTCCACCAACAGTTGAGCATTTATGTCTGTTTAGGAGTTTTTATATGTAATTAGTACTCTTATTTGAGCCATCTTACCCCTCTAATAGCTTTCCTTTCAGTATAATGAACAAGGCAGCAAGTTCTGTTTCAAACCTCAATCTCAACAGCTTCAAACTGCTGAGACAGAAAAGCAGTGAGCTGCAAGAGGTACAGCTGACCATACACACATGCACCAAGGCTTCAAACAACACAATCACAATATCATCCTTCTTACAGGAAAATAAAGCAGTATTCTCAGCCTCTGCTCTTGACCCTTATAATTCACTTTTTTAAGCCATCGTACTTAGATGTAAATTCAACTGTTATATATGGTCATGATACAAAAAAGGCTGTAATAATTACTTTTCTATCACTTTTAAATAGTCAGTATGAAAACCTGCATTAATTTTGTCCAAACCCAAAATTTCTGATACACATTTGGATTATATGTCCTTTATTGTGTGCATACTAACAAGTTATCTACTACAAACACTGTTAACCAGTTTTAGATCTACACTTAACCTCAAGTCAAGTGTATTTAATTTCATTCTCATTTTAACCCACATAACCCAACCTCCCTTAAGGTCTTTATTCAGTTTTCCCTGCCCCTGTACTACTGCCCCCAAATAGAAACTAACAAGCACTAATCACTCTTATTAATGAACAGAGTCCTAAGAGGCACTCACTTTTGGACTTATTTCTCTCTCTGGTCACATCCATGCAGCATCATGTTCCTGCAAACACAGCTGTGACGTCCAGCACAGACACTCAACACTTCAGGGCTGGCATTAAAAACCCACCAAGACCAGGCAATAGACTAAGTAAAACAACACTGCTTTGAAAGTCACAGTGCCCCAGTGATCTGGGACAAGTCTGGACAAAGCACAGGCCAAAAACTTTCACCCAGGAACACAGCTATGTTTTTGCAACCAAGGAAACCCTGCACCCTTCAGTACACAACTGCAGCAGCAAAAGGGAACATTAAACAGAGCTGGGAGAAAAAGACAGAGAGGCCACTTGTTTCCTAAGCCCAGCAGTGCATACTACCTTTTTCTACCCTCATTTCCTTGGACACGCAGCCCACACCCTCATCTGTAGCAGGTTTTTATATTCTTCTCCTAAAGGAGCACTAATGCTAGGTTACAGAAGATGCCAATATACTCTAAAAGAACCCACAACCCTAACATTCAGGAAAATACTGGGTCTCCTGTACAATTTTACAACGAAATCTATATACACGATGACTGGTTTTAGCTGTACAAATTACATTCTAATGCAGCTTGCAAACAGTTGGCCTGCAGGCCCAACATACAATTTAAAATGACGAGTCTATTTTCAAAACCTGAGTAATTAAAAACATTAGACAGCAAGATCTCTCAGGTTGCATAGACACAGACTAGAATACAGCCTATCCCAAATGCATGTTGGCATCCTTTGAGCAGTTAGTATGGGCAAAAGTGACAACTTCACCTCATGCTTGTTCTTGTACAAAAACGCAACTTAAGCAGCTGCAGCTACTAAAATACTGAAATAAGCAAGGAAAATAGAGCACTGTGTGTAATTTGGGAGACTGAGATGTTACCAGCCATGTTAGGTATAAATAGTTCAGGAAAAGCAGAGGAATGAGAGTATCTTGGCATCACAAGGAACCCAGAAAGTAGCTGTACAGCATAGCTGTGGCAGAGACAAAGAAGCCATCTTCACTTAGTGAGAATTTAAGGGAGTTTTGCAAGACTTTGGGAAGGGAACAGTTTCCACCATCCTCAGTTATAACTGCATACTCCCAAAGACTCAAGCCCAGATGTGTCTTCCCAACAGGGCAGCTACTGGGGGCAGTACTCAGAATCCATCATGGCATCTGAGCAGAAGTCTGCAAAATTGCAGGACCCTCAGCTGTATCTCCACTTCTAAAGATGTAATGAAATCTGTGGCCTCTCACTGAAAATATGCCCTCCTTTTGCTTAAATTATTCTAAGTGTGAATCAGATAAGCAGATTTATCCCCTGCAGCCTTTTTCCTGTAACTCACAGTCTAAAAACATGTGCGTAGATGGATCATTTCCACACCTATTTGTTGTTTTCATTTGAAAGTAGAAATATAGGTTTCACAGCTTAACATTCCAGTTTCACCAAGCACTAGATCAGTTAAACAATTTTAGTGTTTTTGTTGATTTTTAATTTTTTTTTAAATCAAACAGCCAAAAACTAAAAGTAGAAAGACTCACATGTAGTTTTTCATAAGCCTAGGAAACTTAAACAATTTCACAAAGAAGCCAGCACTTTAACAACAGTTAGTAACATACAGCTTGATATCCTATCCTTCAAAGACCAAATCATTTTGGAATTCACACTAATAAAATTTAAAAATGGACATACTCTCTCCTTTCTTGGTCTTTTTTTACCATAAGCAGCCTTAGGCAAACCACACAAAGTCCTAAATCTAGAAGTTAGCAAATTACATTCTTGTAGTAGCTCAGCTGGCACATGTTGAGCAGATATAGCCCAAATATTTTTAAAAATATACAAAGCTATCAAACTATAGGAGAGCTTGCTTCCTAAAATGGATTTAACTACCTTATAAAATGGACAGCATTGTTCTTCCTAAACTGATAGCTTCCCTGGAGGACCTAAGTGTCACATCCCAATCACTGGGCTGCCCTTGAACAAACTGAAACAGATGCATCAAGCCTACTCTGTTCATTTCATTCATTCCTTTCCACCTACATTAAATTGTTTTGACAAGCCAGGACACACAGCAAGGCGTCCCAGCACGTGATTTGTGGTTCTGCAGTGCCAGGGGCCTGAAAGGAGACGAGCAGCAAATGAAACGATTGTTCAGAGCGATTCAATAAGCTTTTTCTTGGCTGTTTCCACTTATCCAGGTCCTTCCCATCAGATTTGTTTTGGTCTGGAAAGAGCTAGCAGAGGTGTTTACATTTTTCAATGTAAAACAAGGATCTTGAGCATTCATGATAAACCAGGTACATGTTTATTCTTCCACTAATTTCCTTAATGTACAGCAGCATGCATTACATGCAGCATTGTTACTACCCTCTTTCTACCCCTGTACCTACATGCCTTATATAAATAAAAAACAAACCAACCCTGAACAACTCCCTTTCCCCCCTAAGAACAATTCTTGTACCAAGCCACAATAAGCAAAGCTCATTAGCAAAAAATGCCTATAGTCCTCTGCTGATTTGTTTCAGCCAAACTTACTATCTATTCAGCATCCTTAATAAGGAAAAAAAATACACTTCTGGCACCTAAATTCATCTTAAATTTCAAATGGGAGACTCACATAGTCACTGAGCCTACTGAGTAATTTCCCATGTGTTTTCCTTTCTGTCTGTCCACAGACAGAGTTCTGAGTTCTGTCCTGTTCACATCAGGACAAAAAATCACACATCTGCAGAACACATCCCAGTGCCCAGAGCAGTCCCAGTGCCCAGTCCAGACAGCAGAGGCAGCAGGGGAGCCTCCTCACCAAGGCACTGCACTCT